AGGTTGTCTTTTTACTCTTTTGGTGAAGTCTTTTGATGAGCATAAGTGTTTGATTTTTAGGAGCTCCCAGTTATCTAGTTTCTCTTCTGGTGTTTGTGCATCGTTAGTTATGTTTTGTATTCTGTTCATGCCTTGTATTAGGGCTCCTAGCATTGTCCCTATTTTTTCTTCCATGATCTTTATCGTTTTTGATTTTATATTTAGGTCTTTGATCCATCTTAAGTAAGTTTTTATGCATGGTGTGTTGTATGGGTCTTATTTCAGTTTTTTGCAAATGGATATCCAGTTATGCCAGCACCATTTGTTAAAGAGACTATCTTTTCCCCAGTTAACAGACTTTGGGACTTTGTCAAATATCAGCTGCTCATAGGTGGATGAATTTATGTCTGGATCCTCAATTCTGTTCCACTGGTCTATGTTATCTGTTGTTGTACCAGTACCAGACTGTTTTGACTACCATGGCGGTGTAATAGGTTCTGAAATCAGGTAGTGTGAGGCCTCCCACTTTGTTCTTCTTCTTCAGTAATGCTTTACTTATCAAGTTGTACCACACCATTTATTGAATAACTGCTGGTAATTCAGTACCTACTAGTTTGAGAGGCTACTTTTATCATATAGCACATGTCTTTGTGTCAAATAAACGATTTATGATAAGACAGCATTATTTCATGTCCCAGTAAGAAGCAGAAAGCTCTGTCAGTTAAACTTTGACACACCATCAATTTTTAAGGTGTATACTAATATCACAGAAGTACATCTTAGAATTTCTGAAATATGGGTCTGAATGCTCATGTGTATTTGGTGTGTTTCTGGACTTTCTATTCTTTTCCACTGGTTTGTGTCTTCATGTGCCAGTGCCACACTATTTTAACTACTGAAGACTTATAATGTATTTTAACGTACAGTAGAGACTTCATTGGTCTCCTTTCTCAGAATTTTCCCAACTAACCTTGTTTATCTGTCCAGATAAACTAACCAGAGGGCTGATATTTAAAACTCAGCCGTAGGCAGGTTCTTTCTCTTTGGCTCTTGTAGATCTTCTTTCCCTCTCTCTTTCTCCGTCTTTTCTACTTAAATTGTAAAAACTTGCACTTAGAAGATCTTACTAGCCATGAAGATTAGCTCTAAGGCGGGGATCAGAGTAGCTTCTTTGAAAGTTTGTGTATCTTCTCAGCTTTCTTCTCCTGGGTGTTTCTTCTGCTTCATGATAGGCACAGTCTATTCCTGGTCTGTACTGTTGTCATAAAAGGAAGATGCTCCTATGAAAGTTCTTACTTACAAAATGGTTACTCCTTTCATATCTGCTATGTAGAATTGCAGCCCTTTTGCTGAAAGTAGTGTCCCTAGAATGATGGAAAACCTGAAAAATTTGCAGCTGCATCAGGGTTTAATGTGGTTCACTAATGCATTTTCCTTCAGTAAAACTTGTAGTTTTGCCAGTTATTCCTATTAAGTTTTTAGCATTTTTAATATTGTATTACTAGAATCTTGGCTTTATTTGCATTTATAGATCATAAAAGCACTTCTTTCTTTCTTTTTTTTTTTTTCTGTTCTATTGAAGAACTCATTATAAGAGTCAGTAAACCCTGTGGAAAATGGCCTTCAATGATCTTACATCGAGGACTGTGCGTCTCTACGATAATTGGATCAAAGATGCTGGTGAGTAACCAAATTTCCCAATCAAGGCTCATCTTTCCTTTTTACATCAGATTCCCATACTGAATAGAATTTCACTGAAACAGAATCAGAGACTTTGCAACTTAACACTCCCCTATAGACACCTCAAATACTGATTTTTATTGCTAGTTAACGAGGAGGAAGTGTTAAGGAGTTCATTGCAGATATGTACAAAGATAGAACTACACAGATATTCACTGTAATGTTTATAATAGTGAAAATAGCCTAAATATCTGATGCAGATAGATTAAAAAATGATGGCATGTTCCAGTTCAGTGGCCATTAGAAGTGATTTTGGAGGGAAGGTGCTCTTAGGCTTGCTTCTGCCTTATTAATGCTCCTAAGGGAGATAACAGTTACTGCCAATGATGGTTCTGTCCATGAATGGGAGGGGTGATTCTGAAATGCCTACCTTCTCTCCTTACCCATTTAAAAAAAAATCAATGTTATAGAAGAACATTTAATGACATAGCAAGAGGTTTAAACTATGTTAAATGAAAGCAGGTTATCAAACACCATATGTAAAATTATCTTTTGTGGGGGTTAACAATATGGTAGGATTATGAGTAATTTTTATTTACTTATCTGTATCTGTCTGCTTTTTAACCATAACAAATGTGTTGCTTTTGTAACTACAAAAAATTAGTTTAAAAATATTATCAAAAGTCAAAATTTTTAAAATAGACAAGGAATCAGATTATTTTAGAGTTAAAATGGACCTTAGATATCATCAAAGCTAACTCTTCATTATAGAGTTGAAGAAACTGAGACCCAGAGATGTGACCTTAC